AGACAGCGGCATCATGATCGTTGGTCGAACGATACCTTTCCATTTCGTCAAGGAGGTATGGTTTTGCGTCCCTGATCCTCGAGATACACACTCTTTCGCTCTGGTGGAAAAGATCTACGATGAAAGGTTGGAGAAAGAGCTGGTGTTGGACTACAATGCATCACCGTTGCTTCCTGAGTTCGAGAGATACCGAACGCCAAGCAAGATCATGGAATTGCTTTGCGAGATGCCTCCTGGACCCCACGACACAAGCAAGGAGCAGATCATTCGTGACCTCACGACTGTCCTGGAGTCCCACAGGGAGAACACGGTTCGGCATCACTACATGGACAAAGGAATCAAGTTTGTCATCAAGAATTGGCGACCCGAAGACCTACGCAGAGACGAGGATGGACGGAGAATGAGGGTATGCCCGGCATGCTACAACATCGTTCCAGCATGTTTCTCCCGATGCACGTCTTGCTGGTCACAGTTCATTTCGAGCGGATATTACCAAGGTTCTCCACAACGGGAGACTCCTACGGAGATCCCCAGTGACTTCATTGCTCAGACAATGGAAGCCGCAGCAGCCGCAGTGCCTGAGGCGCCCGAAGAGGAGCAGGAAGCCATGGAGGTAGAGACCGTTGCGGAACCTGAAGAAATCCCAGAACCATCTGTCATCGCGGAAGACGATCCAGAACAGGAACCTGATGAAGAAATGGACATCGAGCCTGGAGAGGACTTTGATGACGCAGTTCCAGAAGCAATCGCACAGGAACGTCGTCCCGTCTTCATTACCGGCCAGTCTTTGAACATCGATCCTGAGCTACAACTTGCACGTACCGCCATGCAGCCATCTTACTATTCTGGAAAGCGAAATGCCCATTGCATTGACGCGAACATGACCGCTCTGTCGTACATGGCATACGTGGTATGCAGATCCATCTACAAGGCTTGGTCAGGATTCGCAAAGTGGGCGACTATGCCGTTGTTTCAGATGAGGGAAAGTTTCGCACTTGGCCAACGCTATGATGTGCTTGGAAAGTGGGGATCTTTGGCGGCAGTGGATAGGGAAACGGGTGTGAGCAAGGATGTGACTGATGAGGAGATCATTCGCTTTGCCAAGGAACCTGAGAACCTCAAACAGTATGATCCCAACGGGACTTACACCTTGAAGCGCTTCCGGACGAACCAGATGCTTTCTTTACTTACACGGGGAGCCAACATGATGGGAATTGGCAGGGACAACTTCAACCCTACTACTTACTTGAAGAGCGAAAGGGATGAAGATGTAAAGGCTATGCACTTTTGTTGCCTGAACGTCCTGTGCGAGGTGATCCCAATGGTGACGGGACACCAACAATTCTCAGTGCTACGACCAACGCCAACTGGACCAGTGGACTTCTTGTACATCGACCCCGTCGGTATTCTGCTGACTCATTCTGATCAGTCAGTCCAGACCATCGGCTTGCTGGTGGACCACAGTGTGCAAATGCCTGCGCATTTCATGGACAGATTGAACAGATCCAAAGCTGAGAGACAGCAAAACCCGACGACCAAGCGTACGGAAGCCCTACACCACATTTCGGCCGCTGACTATCTTCCTCCAGGTGGTACATCCATCCTGGACACGCCTGTCACTACGGAGGAACGTGAAAGCGCTTCTTCATCCAAGGGACCTTCAAAAGGGCGTGGAAGAACCGGAGGCGAGCAACATGGTGGCTGGAACACCAATTCCTACCACGACTACATCGCCGCCAAAGGCCGAAACAAAGGCAAGGACAAAGGAAAGCAGAGGAACCAGTATCCAGAGGAGAACCTCCGGCCCTGGGAACGCGATCCTACGTCAACGCGAAGATGGTGGCGAGACAACGCCTGATCTTCCTCGCCTATCAGTTCGTGACCTCTGAGCTTCGCCCATGGAATGCCATCGCGAATGCTTCTTTCTTCGGTGACGCCTGATTCGTTTGTCATTTCAGGGGATCGTTACTGACGTAGATGAGTGTCACAACGTTTCTAATTGGGATGCAAAGCTCTGATTTTCAATGTCAACGTTGCGGCGGAACATTTTCTGTTGTCCTATCGTGCCATCTTCCGGGTGAGCAGCGTCGGAGACGCAACTCATGGGGGGTGCGAACGGACTGCGATGCCTTGTCAAGTTCTAAGGTGTCACTATAAGAGCTGTGAGCAAGACCGTGTAAAGTGCAAGAGAAGGGGGCACGCTACGCGTCCCTCGACTCTAGGGGGCATGCTACGCATCCCTCATCTTTACCTTTCTATGTGACCGCCAACGCAACGTTTGGCTCAAGTCAATGCCCATAGCTAAGTGCTATATGTGTCTTCTATCCTGAGCAATCAGAGCTATCCCGTTGCACAGACGAACCGCCGCCGGCAGTGAGTGCAAAAGGAACGGCCGCCGGTTCTGCCTGCATAGGATTGCACGTGTGGAAGTAAGAGGGAGAGACAGGGTCCAGTCTGTGGAGAGTGCTAGCCAGCCACACCTACATTCAATACAGCTCTGGTGGGGAGAGCAGCAACCAAGTCGAGATCAATCCCCCACGCAGTACTAGTACTAGTACTACTACTACTACTACTACTCCTACTCCTACTCCTACTCCTACTACTACTACTACTACTACTACTACTACTTCTACTACTACTTCTACTACAGGATGCGAACAGCGGCAACATGTGCTCTTTCAGCATGTGGCTAGCTCCGGAGTGAACAGCTCCAATCAGCGGGCAGCCGATAACTCCGAGGTGCAGCCCATGGAACTGGTGACTCTACCGGCCACGCAGCCCTTTCGCACGCTCTATTTACAGCAACCTCTGGTGGTCCCTTCAGGCAATACCTGCATGACCGCTGGTGTACCGGATGGTGCTGCTTTGGAAGGGCGCGAGATACAATCTGCGATGACAGCCGGTAACCCGAGTATGGATCAGCCTGGCAGCACTTGCACAGTCGTGGAGACGGCAGCAGAAACCACCTCTTTTCTGCAACAGATGGATTGAGTTTTGGCAGATCTCGGCGACCTCAGCGGCCTAGTTTTGGTGTAGTCGCGACGGCAAGAAGATCATAAGTAGCCTTGCTTCTGAAGGGTTGTACCAATACGGTACAGCTGCCTCGAGCAGCCGGACCAAAGGTCTGACCTCCTCGTCATGCACTCGGATTGTGCGACGCTCGGAATGAATACTACTACTACTACAACTACTACTACTACCACTACTACTACTACTACTACTACTACTACTACTACTACTACTACTACTACTACTACTACTACTATTACTACTACTATTACTAGTACTAGTACTAGTACTAGTACTAGTACTAGTACTAGTACTAGTACTAGTACTAGTACTAGTACTAGTACTAGTACTACTACTACTACTACTACTACTACTACTACTACTACTACTACTACTACTACTACTACTACTACTACTACTACTACTACTACTATAACTACTACTGCTACTACTACGACTACGACTACAACTACAACTGCAACTACAACTACAACCGCATAACAACCGCGACCATCGAAGCCGAATCATCTAGGTTTAGGGCATGGGAATCCATCAAGGATGAAGTTCAAAGACAAAGCTTTAGGCAACAAGTGGTGCTGGAACAAAGCCAAAATGGCTTCCAGGCAGCAGAGCTTGGCGGAGGAAGCAATACGACCCTTCCCGGAACCTTCTCCCCAGTGTCTGCCATGATCTACGCAAAACCGATGCGACTAAGGACGGTGATGGTAGCATGTTAATTTCCACAAGGTGTGTGCAGTACATCATTCGCAGCCGTTGCCAGGTCTTTTTTTTTCACGAACACTTTTTACGATCGGTACGAGCGCGGTCCCTGTGCACCTGCAGTCTACGTGGCGGCGGCAGCCTAGGCCCGCAGCGGGAGCCGACTGAGCGCAGGGGCGTGCAGCCAGCGCTCGTCCTGCAAGACCTCATGCACAGCCGGCTCGCCGGCAGCAGAGGCGACGGTGTCGAGAGGGAGCTCCAGCAAGGAGCCGGCGAGGGCCCTCTGCGCTGCGACGGCGATGATGCTGCTCCAGCGAGACACATAGGCTGCACGCAGAGCCGACCGAACGGCCGCGTGCGCACGCCCAGCTCGCGCCCGCGCGAGGAGCCTGAGTCGCGGGCTCGGGGCCCAGCGGCCGCCAACCTCGACAGCGAACACCACGAGGTGGCAGTGCGGCGAGCGCGCAAGCTCGGGGTACGTGTCGCGTCGCTTGCGCCTCGTGGCTTGCTGTAGGGCGAGGCCGGGTTGACTATCGGCTCCTGGCCGCGGCTCGCCGGAGCGAGTGGCTGGGCTGACACAGGTGGTGTCAACTGCTAGCTGAGCCCCATGCCAAAGAGGCAAGCCGTTGCAAACGAGCTCTATCCGGCGCGCGTCTGGCACTGGGGTGGGGAGGTTCATGTCTGCAAGGCGCACGTTGCGGGCGACGCGAGCGCCGGCTTCTAGGCAAACCCGAGCGACAGCTCGCTCAAGCGGGAGAGCACGGGAGGCAAGGGCCCCGGAGTGGAGTCGGGCCTGGAAACTCCTGCTGTTCGCCCCTCGCATGTTGCTGCACCGTCCCAGAGGAGGCATCCGACTTGACAAGGCGGTGTTGCTTGCACGCTTCCAAGCTTTCCTGCGCGGGGAGTGGGCGCGGTCCTCGGCTCGGAGATAGGTGGAACGCGTAGCCGTAGTAACACGAGGAGTTGAGACGACCTTTGCAGTCGTAAAAAGGCGTGAGAAAGAAAAAAAAAAAAGATATTCCGTTGGCTTGGAAGTGTATGTCGTCAGAAGTTTCCGGACAGCGTCTACATGGGGATTACCATTGTTGACACACACGCAGACCATGCTTCGGGGACCAGTGCATGCACGGCGTCTCATGGGGATTGGAAGGTTCTGGCCTTCAAATCGGCTTGAAAACTTTCTGTTCGGACCCACGCGTCCCCAACTAGAACTATGGTTTGCGCTGCCTTGCACTGCCTTTCTGAATGCCGGCGTCTAGTTGGGGATTCGCATGAACAACATCCAATGCACTGCCTTTCGCGGGCCGGGGTGTACGACATCAGCTGGCCCAGTTGCCGTGCCGGCTGCTGCAGCCTGGTACCGCCAAGGCCCCCCGACGCGCGCTCAAGTGGACACACACACGGTTGGCTCTTTGTGCCCTTACTGCATGCTGCAGTCGGTCGGCTCCAACCCGACGCGCTCAGTGCTTGGAACGCCCATGCTCATTATGCCCCGCTGTGGCAGCGTGCGCTCGACATCCTTCGCCAAGCCCTTCCTGTGCAACCCGCTGCGTTGGTGCATGCCTTGCATACCCTGCAGCAGCTTGCAACCGAAAAAGGGCGTGCGCTCCCGTTGCCTGAAGCACAACTGTTGCTGACCATCGCTGCAGAAAGTAGTGCCCTCCCCAGCAACACATCAGTGCATTTGGTTTGGGCGTGGCAAATCGTGACGATGCCCGATGGGTACATACCGGCCACCGTACAAGAGGCCTTGCTGCACGTGTGCATGGGAGAACGCGCGGTTTCGGAGCTTCTGCAGCAAGTCGCCGTCCCGCATCGCAGCGGAGGGCCCCCGCCCACCCTTGCCCTGCAATGCCCCCGTGCGAGACCGAGCTTCGGGTTGCACCTGACTCAACTCGTCCCGCGACCGCGCCTGTCGTTGCGCAAGCCGATGGCCGACGTCCCTCGAGTTCCAGTTCCAGCTCCAGCAGCTCCAGGTCTGACTCCAGTGTTTGGGACCCTGCTCCGCGTGCGTCACCGCCCGCCGCCCCCGACGCCCACACTGCTAGCACTGTGCGCCAGCGCAATGGTACCGACACTCAGCTACGTTTCCGTGCACCCTTGGCTACCCTTGACAGTTTCTCAGCCGAGGATGTGCTGGCGCAGCCGTGCTGCCTGTTCCGTGTGCCTCCGCACTTTTGCAAGGGCGTATTGCGTCAGTGCTTGCGGCTTGCCTTTGACTTGGTCGTGTGTGCATGTGACTCGGCCACTGCAGCGGACTGGAGTCGGGCCTGGAAACTCCTGCTGTTCGCCCTTCGCATGTTGCTGCACCGTCCCAGAGGAGGCATCCGACTTGACAAGGCGGTGTTGCTTGCACGCTTCCAAGCTTTCCTGCGCGGGGAGTGGGCGCCGTTGCTTGACGAAGCCTTGTCACAACCATCACCGCCAATCTCCTAAGCCCGATGCTGAAGCGCGTGCTCGCCGTGCCACGCATCTAGCCCAGTTAGGTGAACTGTCGGCCGCGAGGCAAGCATTGTTGGCAGACCCGTTGGCCCCCCCCACCCAAGACAAATTCGAAGCACTGTCCAATGCTGAGCGGCGTCCCCCCGAACCTTACATTTTCGCATGTCGCCTCCCAACTTGCGTGTGCCCTCGTCTTAGACGACATTGTGCCAGCTCTTGGAATTGGGCGTGTCGTCGCACTCTGGAAGCCCAGTGGTGGCACGCGAGGCCTTGTGGTCGGCGACTTCCTGCGCCGCCTGGTCGCCCGCACGTTGGCACAACAGTTTGCGGCTCCCTTTGCAGAAGCGTGCCACCCACACCAAGTCGCGTCGGGGCCGAGGCCCTGATCCATGAAGTGCAGGCTCGTTGTGCAGCTGACCCCCAGCTCACAGTTGTGTCCCTTGATGCCGCTGCCGCAGTGCTGCCGCCTATGACGGCATGAGCCGACAAATGGTGTTGCGGGAGCTGACGGAGGTCCCCCAGGCGTCGGCGCTGTTGCCGTTCGTGCGCTTGTGCTTGGGTCGCACGTCCACCTACTGTTGGCAGCAAGGCGCGCACACGCGGCACTTGCAGCAAGGTGAAGGAGTCGAACAGGGTGACCCCCTGAGCCCAGCATTGTTCAGCTTAGGCTTGCGTGCAGCTTTGCGGGATCTGCAGGTTGATGTCCGACCCGAGCTTGGCGAACGCGTCCTTGCATACTTGGATGAAGTTACTTTCCTGGCCAGGCCGCAGTGAGCCTTGGATCTCATCCAGCGCTTTGAGCACCACCTCGCGTTTCACACACGTCTCTGCCTGAACTTGTCTAAGACAGCCATCTGGAGTGCAGCTGGAGTCGCTCCCGATGGCCTGCATGCCTTATCAACCACTGCCCGCATTTGGTTTGGGGACTCGTCGCTCGCGGCTGCCCAACGCGGGCTCGTTTTGCTGGGAGCACCGTTCGGCACGCCCGAGTTCGCGCAGGCACAGTTGCAGCGCTCTCTGGAGCGGCAGGCCACTCTCCTCAACCAACTGCCGAATCTACACGACACACAGGTCGGGTGGCTGCTGTTGTCGTGCTGCGCATGCCCACGGGCGCAGTATGCTGTCCGCACGCTCCCCACTGCCAGCACGCACGAGTATGCGATGCGTCATGATGCCGCAGTGTTGAGATGCCTCTCGTGTGCAGTTGGCCCTGCGCCATGGCGGCCTCGGCCTGCGCAGCGCGGTCCGTCATGCGCCAGCGCCTTTTTGGGCATCCTGGGCCGACACTCTCCCAGCAGTCTCCCAGCCATGCACGAGCGCGACCGCCCCTTCGCCCGTCGACTTGTCCAGGGCTTGGAAACAGCAAGCGAGCTGTCAGAGTTGCTGCCGCTTCAAACTGCCCGCGACTCTCTGTCCGCTGTTGGCTTCGAACCCCCGTCCTGGCACGACGTGCTTCACGGAGAGGAGCCGCGCCTGCTCGTCGAAGACGGGCCACAGCTTGACAACACTCGTGGCTGGCAGCGTGCCGCATCCCGGGCCGTCGACCTCTTCGGCCAGCGAGCCTTGTTGCGAGAACTCGATGCCTCCTCCGCCGCCCTGCTCGAGTCACAAGCAGGTCCGCACGCAGCCCGCGTTTTCACTGCACGGCCCACCTCGCCTGAGCTCGCCCTGGAATCCCCGTTGTTCCGAGCTCTCCTGCTGCGCCGGCTCCGCCTGCCACTCCCGCTGCATGCAGCGAGACAGCAGCGAGATGCCGGTGTCGCCAACCGCATGATACCTTCGGCGATCACCTTGCTGCTTGCCAGCGGTCTGGTGCGTTGCGCTCGCGTGGGGGCCCACTCGAGCGAGCGGCGGCCAGAGTTTGCCGGGAGGCGGGCGCCACTGTCGCGATGCATGCCCTGGTGCGTGATCTGAATGTGGTCCCTGTCCACCAGGACGAGAGACGCATCGAAGTCATCGCGAACGGCCTGCCTTCGTGGGGCGGTGTGCAGCTTGGCGTTGACACCACATTGGTGTCGGCCCTCACTGCAGCTGGCATGCCAAGCCGAGACAGCGGCCGCACGGCTGGGGCAGCTTTGCGTGTTGCTGAACGTGCCAAAGCTCGGACATACCCAGAGCTTGCTTCCGGGCGCCGCTGTCGGCTTGTCGTATGGCTTGTCGTCCTTGTGGCATTGAGGTCGGAGGACGCTGGAGCCCCCAAGCCGCTGAGTTTGTCAGACTCCTTGCCCGCAGCAAGGCCCGTGTCGCTCCTCCTGCACAGCGTGCGGCGTGCACTGCCGCGTTTGCGTTGCGCTGGTCTGCGCTCCTGGCTTTTGCGGCCGCGCGGACCTTTGCTGCCAGCCTCCTTTCCCTTCCCTTGTCCGGCACCGCCAACGTTGATGGAGACATGCCGCTCCTCAGCGACGTCCTGGCTGACTCTTCCGAGCACCCCCCTTTGCCAGCCGCATGCCGTAGTCTGTTGCCGCTGTTGCCTGGACTTTGGGCATGCGCACCGGCACCGCGGAGTGGACGGACGTAAAAGAGGTGTGTGGGGAAAAAAAAGAGGAAGACCGTGACACCGCGACTGCCGTGACATGCCGTGACAGGCGCTGCCCGATGCACCGCTGCCGCTAGCGGCCGCCACTCTACTCTGCATGGTTAAGGAAGCGCACAACGCGGTTGAGAAATCTCATGCGGAAGGGGTTCCGATCAAAGAGTACACGTGCAAGTCGGATCCTCACCGAAATCCAGCGTGACACTCATCCAGTGACAGATCGATCATGTGATCGTAGAATGAATACGGCTCAAAAGTAGTTTTTTCAAGATGCACAGCAACAAGTCAATGTTATATAGCACAGTAATCATCACGCATCATCACGCGTCCGGCTGTTCATACATGCTGCACGAGAAGCTACGATTCCGTGTTTCCCGATGGACGGGGCACAAGTGGCATAGCCCCCAAAATTGCAACACCACGGAAGATCACGGAAGGTCGACACGGAGAGCCCCATACGGAATGTTGTCAACACCAGGTCCAGGGTTTCTTCGTCAAGGGGTTCAGGGTTTCTGAGTCTGTTGGGCGATGCACCTGCGGATCTTTTGGATGCTTCCCGATGTGTGCGTATGCTGTATGGTGCTTGGATTCTGTCCCTTTCGCGATGATCATGTCATACTGTTACTAAATCTCCTTTGTGATAGTGCTGTTGCTAAAGTGGTCAGTGTGAGTGTGTAGCCACGAGTGCTACAGCATTCGCCGTTCCCCGGCAAGACGTCAAGAGGCCTGGATGCAAAAAGTGTTTTTGGCCTGGATGCAAAAGGGTTTCTTGGGTTTCGGCGCACTTGGACAATACTTGGTTGCTCCAGGGGCCGACGTCCACCAAATGCGGTCTCTCCTAAAGAGCCGCGGCTCGAGCTAGGCTGGAACTGCATCTGGGCAAGCGCCTGCAACGCACGTTTTCGGCGCATCTCCAGGCGATGTTGGACGGATGCTTAGGGTCGCCTCCCCAACTCGTTTGCTACGGAAGGTGCGGCATCCATTCGAAGATGTCGCGCGAGGCTGCTGTGTGCCCGGCGTATGGTCAATGCGTAATTAGTAGCTGCTCGGCGAAACAGCAAATCGAGGAGGACGCCTTGCAGCAGCCACCCCCTGGCCACCCCCAAGCAAACAATAGTGGCCCGAAATCTGTACCGAAGGGTGGCACCACCACACGTGAGGGCTGCCTTTGCCAATCTTTCCTTGCACGTCGGTGGCTGGGAGGCGGCTCTCACCACAGCCCGCGAGGCGGCCGAATGTGCCCCGGCGCATGCCGACGGGAGCTGCCCGATCACTGCATCCGACATGGCATCAGGGAGCCGGAAAGAAAAATTAGTTTCTTGAGCCAGAACTGTTTCGGAATTCCAGCTCTCCCAGAGCTGTCCTGTTGCACCGGTTCGGCTCCGAAGAAGAGACGCCCAAGCCGAGCTCCGGGACTCCGAGCTCGCGTGCTCTTTCGGCAAGCCGGTGCTCTATGTTCCGGGGGGTGGGCGTGATTTTTTGTAGCTGAGGTGCCATGCCGCCAGTACGACTCGGGCAAGCCTGGCAGTGATATCTTGGCATTAGGGTGCTGAAGTATGCCCAACCAGTTGTTTGCGGAGTCGCTTTTCCGATTGCCAGGTACTGCTTGTTTTACGTTGCGGCATGGCATGTGGCCGCAACGTCGGGCATTGATTGTGGCAGGTTGGGCCGAATCCTGCATTCACTTTTCGTCATAGACGTCATGGGTTCTCCATGCGCAAGGCACACTTCTACCACTTGCGTGTTTGGTTTCGGTTTTGGTTTATGTTTGGAGCTTGCGACAGGTCCGACACTGCCTGTGTCACGGAAGAGTTGGCATTGTTGCAGCACCAACTGGCTGCGGGAGAGGCCAAATACATCAAATACGGAGCGGGTTCGTTTTGGTGAGGGAATTCGAGGGAAGAGTTCCATGAGATGTGGATGGGAGCGATTTAGTGGAGTATGGAGTTTTGGGTTCAGGCGAGACATGTTAGGCCGTTAGGCATTGTTAGGGACTGCAGTGCAGGAACACGGAGCCATGGCGGAAGGCGATGACAAGGCCGGCCCACATCATGTTGCGGCGTTTCACCAGCCAGTACTGTATCCAACCCTGCTTTCCATTCCTTCAGCAATGCAGGAGGCAGTTAGTTAGCATTATAGACTAGGTCATAGAGTCCCGACCTTTGTTTCATGCTTAAACAACTTTTGAATCTGAGGTGGGAATGTTGATAGCAGGTTTTGGTGGATTTTTCATGATGGGTGCCATCCGCATTCCAATGTTTTGGCAAACGCTGCCGAAGAACACCGGGCATACCACCAACCAGTCGCGCGTGCCTCACTGCCAGGGGTTCGCTCCACGAAGCTTGGTGAAAGAAAAACATCAATGAGCCCCGTTTTGGCTTGCGGGCCGCACCTTCGTCCCTTGCCGCATCGGCAGCACCCCGAGCATCCCCTGAACAATTCCTTGAGCGCGGTGAAGATAAGCAAGCAGATGTTGCTCTCAACCTAGTGGTGCAGTAGTGTGGCGAGGAGCCCACTTCGCTTTCTTTTTGGCATACACTTGATATTGGCACAAGGGGTTGCAAACGAGAGGAGGGACTGTATAATAACCCCGTGCTGTTAAGTTTAGTTTAACATGTCCGTATTCGGTTTTGATGGTTTTCCGTGGAAAACGATAAAAAGAAAATGAAACGATAACAACACATAACGAAACGGTAATGCATTTTTCGTGGTAAAACGATAAGAAGAAAATGAAACGATAACAACACTCAGGGACAAGGATTTTTATACGGTGTTATTCTACAATGCTGACTCTCGCTGACCTATCCTTGTTGTGATTTAGCCCTGTCGCATCGCAGCTTCGTCTTGCGCCTACGGGCCTACAGGTGCGGCGTTGGCGGCGAAGGCAGAGGCCCAGGAGGAGCGGAGGGGTCCGAAGGTGTTCGGAAGAACCGAATTACGTGATGAACGCAAAGGTCAGGTTGTGAGATTCTCCAGCATCCCTTGACAGTTGACAGTGTTGGAAGGGTTCATTACTGTCAGCCCAGAGTCCCAGAAGCTTACGTTGGCTAAGGGTCGGTGGTCTCCCCTTACGGGAAGCGACCTCCCATCGGCTCTAGCAGTTTTGCGCGAGAGCTGGAACAGAACCAACCAAGCCTGTGGTCATCGAGCCTCAGCGATGAGCGATGCTGGCAGGCGCTGGCGGAGTCGCAATTACAATGTGGGCAGTTACAAGGTGGCTGGGGTTCAAAGCTTGAGCATCGAAGTTGAGGAATTGTGAAGCTTCAGGAACTGGTTACAGTAGAGGTAGAGAGTTAACCAACCTTGTCATACTTTCTCCATATCGCAAGGTGTATCACCAGAAGCTTGCAAGCTGCAGCTGAGAAGGCTGTCCGGATTTCGAAGTTCCTTTTTGCAAGGGTGAAGTCTGCAAAAATCATTGTAGTACGTAACTGTTGGTTTCTCGATCACCATCAGGGTAGGAAGAGGTAGTCAAACCAGTCTGCGGAAAAAGGCGGCAGCTCCTTTTAAGCAGGACCAGTTTCAACTTTCCCGAGCAGCTAATTCACATGTTCTGCTTTGTTTTCCGATGTTTTGTGAGATTCGGTTGGAAGTGGAAGTGGCAGCCTGCGTCTGTGTTTTTTGCGTGCCACCGGACCGAGGGGAGGATTTAGAGTTGAACACAGGAGGAGCTGGGACTCCTCTCGGTTTCCGCTTTTTTCAGTATTGCGCAGGGTCGGGCCCCAGTTCTGCACGCTGCAAATGGGGGGGGGGCAGGCGCCCATCCCCTCCACCCCCAACCGGCTCGCAACGCATTCAAGCTTCAAGCTTTGAAGATTTGGTTTTTGCAGGCGTTTCATTGATTGAGCACCACAGTGTGCTTTCATGACTCAAGCATGCTCTCAGTTGATCCCATATCTCAAGCCCACTCCTTAGACCAGTGCGGTTGATTTCACACCTGAGTCCCGTCCCCCCATTGGGCGTTGGCGGTTGATCCAAGATCTGTCCATATCTTCAATCCTCACCCACTATTGTACCTATCTCCCTGCCTCGTGTACTCAGCCATGATGACGGTTGATCCCATGGCGTGGTGGTTGATTTCATGTCTCAAATTCGCCTCCTCGTTGGGCGATGGCACTGCATCTCATATATAATATAACTAACCCGCCCCCAGTGGCGATGACTGTTGATTTCATGTCGGAATTCTGCATTTGATTCGGCGAGTGCAGATGATCCCATATCTTCATCCGGTCCACCAGTATGCGAGTGTGTTTGGGTTTCGGTGAATCACGCCGAAAATAAGACGCCTGTCAACCCACCCCCCCGCGATGAGGCGATGACGGTTGATTCCGTATCTGTCCCCCGCCCCCTCGTCAGGCGAGTGTTGTTGATCCCAAACTGCTTGTTTATGAATCTCACTTCGCGTCAGGGTGTCAAGACGAGAACTCTTAAGGTCCGGTGGCGTTTCTCTAAGGGACGAGCGGTTATCGAGGTACTCGTAGAGTGCGTAACGAGCCCTGAGGCCTACTACTACGGAAAGCAAACGACGACAACACGCATCGCGGCTGGGCCGCAAGCATTTGGCTGGGCATTTTGGGCTCGAAAGCTCAATCAGAGAGAGAGAGAGAGAGAGAGAGAGAGAGAGAGAGAGGGGTCGAGCCGGCAGTGCCTTCTGTCTCACCCGAAAAGAAGGGGCGGGCGAGAGATGCTTGCCTGGGCCGGGAGACTCGTAGGCCGACGGGTGGTATGCTAGCACCTAAGCCTTCGAGGCGGGTTGGGGTTTAGTGCTAAGGGGGGCTCGAAGAGGTCGGCCAGTGAGTAATTCCTCGAGTACTTTTCACTTGTCTCAGCACGAAATTCCCGGGTGCGAAAATACGCGCGAGGGGGGGTAGCGACTAGCGACCTGCCCTCTGGCCGAGCAGAAGAAGAGAGAGGGAGAGAGGGAGAGAGAGAGTGTGTGTGTGTGTGTGTGTCAACGAGAGTGTCCATTTGTAGTGTCACGTCATCTTGTACTTTAGGCCTTAGCACTTCAATAAACTATGCTCGTTCTTTACTTTCCCTAGAGCCTAGCGAGAGGAAAGAGGGGGAGAGAGAGACAGGAGACAGACTCAACACAGAACAGCCGTTGAATTGCCGGAGTTTTTTACGCTCTTTCAGATGCTGTGGTGTCTGCTACGGGCAACTTCCGCCTGGCTTTTCTTTAGTTCAACTGGCATGTGACAGCATTCTCGCTGAGGCCACAACGACAACAACGACCACGGTTTCCGCAGCTCCTCTGGTTTCTGTGTTCATTCGGGCACTACGGAACAAGACGTCTTGAGGTATGTCAGTTTGCAGCCGAGGAGTTGAAATCGAGGGGCATGTGGTAGCCTTTGTTAGAATCCCAGGCCCCGTCTGTGTGGCTGCTGGCGAATGCGCAAGACACGTGCGACGACCTATGCAAGTTCGATGGGTATGGCGGCTGCGGCGCAGCTGAGATCGCTGGCATCAACTCGACACAAGCTGTTGCGGCCCTCATGCTGCAGGAATTCAACATCACGTGCAATACCAACCCCAACCGAAACGAAGACTTTGGCATCTTCTACGCCAGCAACGATGATTGCTGGTTTGTCGATGGGACCGTGGACTGCAGTCAGGGATTGTCTAATGTCGGAAGGCGCCCGGTTTGCTACTGCGAGGGCACCACATCAACCACCACTCCGGATGCTACCTTGTTGCATTCTTTGGTACGGTAATGTAATTCTACATATAGTTCAATATGCAGTATACATGTATAAAGCATCATCAGTATGATATAGTATAATATAATACGGTTTCGGAAAAAGGCCTCGCCATGTAGCCGATGAGGAGCACATAATGCTCCGGGTATTAATTAGATTCAGAAGATGCAACCTTACACACATGCACACACACACACACACACAGACACACTCACACACAGACACACACACACACACACACACAGAGACACACAGACACACAGACAAGACAGAGACAGACAGAGACAGACAGAGACAGACAGAGACAGACAGAGACAGACAGAGACAGACAGAGACAGACAGAGACAGACAGAGACAGACAGAGACAGACAGAGACAGACAGAGACAGACAGAGACAGACAGAGACAGAAAGAGACAGACAGAGACAGACAGAGACAGACAGAGACAGACAGAGACAGACAGAGACAGACAGAGACAGACAGAGACAGACAGAGACAGACAGAGACAGACAGAGACAGACAGAGACAGACAGAGACAGACAGAGACACAGAGACAGACAGACAGACAGAGAGAGACAGAGAGAGACAGAGAGAGACAGACAGAGACAGACAGAGACAGACAGACAGACAGACAGACAGGCACGATCACGCACACAGACACACACACACTAGCTAACCAGAGTTGAGTGATTGTCTCGATCGGGGTTCTTACTGCTTACTCACTGATGTGGATTCCTGCATGTCGCTAGCTTTAAGGTTTACCTCAGGCGGGATGGGCTTTTGGTGAAGACCAAGACTCCTGCAACGACTTCTGCCGCTTCACCGGGTTCGATGGGTGCAATGCATCTATGATTCAAGAAATCAGCACATACCCGAGAGCGGTTCGCTTGATTGAGGGCTTGGGCATGAATCTGACTTGTGATGCCGCCATTCGGCAAAAGGATACTGGCGTCTACATCAATCCGAGTAACATCGATCCATTCTTTGCGCAGTGCTTCAGTGTCAGTGGCACCGTCGATTGCGATGTCGGATTGTCGAACCTTAAACCTTTATGCTTCTGCAGCTCAACCACGGTAACGACAACCCTATCTGCCACTTGATTGAATTGAATCTCTATCGGCTCGTGTTGTTGTGAGAAACTGGCCTACAATGGTATCTGACCCAGCAACCGGGCAACCGGTCTGGTTTGAGCAGTTCTTCTCATCATGCCAGTAGGTCCTAGACTAGACACTAGGTTTTTGGTGGGGCCTCTCCCGTCTGGGTTTTCAGGTCAATTGGCAGCTTGGAGCTGTGGGTCAGACCTGCAACGACCTCTGCACAAACGGTTGCAACGTGTCGGAGATGGAGCAGATCTTCCGGATGCCAAGGGCCACGCGCTTGATCGAAAGCATGCTTGCGAGGAGATGTGTTCCGGGTGGCGGATCCCGGTCGAACGGCATCTTCTTTGATCCAACGACGGGACAGGATGGAAAATGCTTCTACTTCGACCCCGGAGCTGTGGATTGCAGCGCGAACGACAACCCTACAAAGGAAGCTCCCGTGTGCTACTGCAATCCGGCTGCTCCTGCTCCTTGACCCCTGATTTCCTGCTTCAAAGGCAGGACTGATGCAAGCAGCAGGCCTCAGGTTTTGGTATGTTTTAGTCGCTTGAGTCTATTGACACTGAGCGAAGGCTCCTCAACGAAGGACCCCGAAAACCCGCAATGACGGGTGGAGTTTTAAGCGCATGACAAAAGGGGTCGAATTGCGCCAGCTACCGGCTCTTGTTCTTTGTGCGTAGATTCTTGTAGGAATCATGCCGCAAGCAGGAACAAAGAAACATAACCAACCAACAGAACCCTTAACCCACGAGTACAAGGGCGGAAGCTCTACTTCAAGTGCCCCTACTGTTTCGAAGCACTCACAGTTGGCGGTAGCTGCCAGCGAGTTCGTTCGGTTCCTGCCACGCAGGTTGATGATCTGCGCACGAAGCAAGTGGCATCAACGACAACGTACCTTCAGGACTGCAGGAGCCGGAGGCAATTACTTGTGGTGTGGGCGCTTAATGCGCTTAGTCGGCCAGGAGCTGGGAACTCTGAGGAGTCATTTACGGCAAGTCGCCGCAGCTGAATCACATCTTCGCCGGGTTCCGAATGTCTGAGCATGATGAGTCTTGTTCGTTGATGTCTTGACAACGCGGCTGTGTTGTGCGCATGTAGACAGAAAAATTGCGTGAGGCGTTACCTACCCGACACAACATCAAGTTCAGGTTCATAGCTGCATGCAACCGAATGTGTTTCGCTGTTCGTCCGAGTCGGTTGTCCAAAATCATCACCCTAATCAGGAAAGAACAATACTAGTAGATCGAATCCTGTTGGGCTTCGCGGCAGTTTCCGTTCTGGTGTCAAGGCGCCGCGGCTGCTGAAACTCCAGCACCCACGCCTTCGCAGTCCAAGCGAGGTGTTGTTCATGGCTGGCACAGCCTACCCACTGAGATTAAGCAATGCGGCATGCCTCTCGTCAGGTTCCAAGACGGATCCATCGTCCCAGAATAGTCATCGGAGGCCGACACGGACTGTCAAGGTCGATACAGTCGATGGACGGTGGCAGGAACATGTACGACCTGCGAAGCGTAGCAAGTAATTATCGAAAGCGTCTGTCTTACCATGCAAGTCAGGCCGTCGGTGCTGAAGAAGCCCAGCAAGAACAGTGTTCCAACAGACCGAAGGCTGGTGTTTTTGATGCGGCTTGGCTGTGCTTCCTCTTCTGCTTGTCCGATGCGATGCGTTTGATGTGATTGAGCTGCAGACCTGAAGTTCTGCTGTCAGGGCTTCCTTCAGTGAGACCAAGGAGGAAATTGCGATACCACAGGCCGACTGTTTCGCGCTTTGATACAATTTTGCCTGGGCTGTGCAATGGAACATGCTTGTGCCAGAAGATGGGTCGGCAAACTACGGCTACCGACGATGAGCCTCCGAAGAGTTCACCGTCTGGCTCAGCATCTGGAGGGCCGTTCCCCCAGACTCCGGCACTCATGCTACAGTGGCACCAAAGCACCTAGACTAATCCAAACCTCGAGGCCACATGGACGCAAGGCAAGCGGGCCGCATTACAGACGCCGTGTGTGTGTGGGTGTGCCCTTCCTTGCAGATTTTCCTGCGGATTTTGCGTTGGCAGCTCTTGTGTGCATCAGGGCCGCAAGTTTTCGACAATGACCGGCGCAGCAACAGCAGCCATGGCTTTCGCCAGGGCGCAGGCAACAGGGCTGCAATATTCTGTTTCCTTGGCCCATGGAAAGCTGGGTTCCGGTTCTCTGCCGCATCCAACGAGCCCGATGCTAACAAGAAGGCAGTATCGCTCATGAGGGGTCCAAGGCCCTACGGCTATATAGGCCTCCTGGGAACTTGCTTGCCCTGCTGGCGTTTGAACTCTTGGATGTCCGTGGCACTGGTGACTGCATCCGCACGAGCTACTAAGGGGTTTGGGTCGAATGCGCCGTCCGAACATGATGTTGCTGAGGCTTCGTCCTAAGTGCATGGCAGCCGCAGTGTAGTTGACAACGAGCTGCAAAGCGTGCATTGGTTCTGAGCATCAACAAGCATCTCGTGCAGCACGCGTTGCCAAGGTCGGAATCGAATTTGCCGAGGTCTGCCTGCCACGCTGCTTCCCTGTCCCCTAAGGCCTAAGGCCCTAAGTTTGGACATGGCATCAAGAAACCGTGGCAATCAAACGCTGTAAACACGCTTTTTGCACACTCAAATCAAATATTCGTAACCCTTACATCGTAGTAGCCTTATACTAGAAACCCTTACAAATACCTTGAGCATCAGCAGATGAGCTGTTCCAATAAACGGGTGTGTGACCGTGTAATCTTGGTAAACCAGAACCGCATCGGCAGTCCCAGCTAAGCCTTGTCGGAAAACAGTTCTAAGGCTACTGAGTATACGACGCTCTTTAGATGCTTGCTTTCACCCGCGGGGAAAGGGACATGGGACCTTACCCGCAACCTCGGATTGCCAACGTTCAGGGGGAAGCAGCAACTTCGATGATGATTGGGAGTCGATTGCTTCACGTTGGCCCATGCCTTTGTGTACATTGATGGTGTTCCACTTCAGGTCGTGACATCTTTGCCTTCGCCTGAACCGGTGAGTCCAAGGGTGTCTAGTACCAGTAGCTTCCGGAAGGGTCGGTCTCGCCTTTCAACGCTAACAGCAAGAAGCAGAGCCTTGGCAGGTCCACCACTACATGTGGGATGCGGCAGAGTTCTTGGATCAGGCATTGTCTTGGGGGATTGGGGTGCCCATGGTGCCTCAATGATGCAGGCCTTGTGAAGATGAAAGCCTTACGCCCTGAACTCCTAAAGTCTACGTGCTGTATGAAAACCAAATATTGCGGATTGGGTTGCTGTTGATGTGATGGGTTGATGCTCTCCTATGCACCGATGCTGCCCCAGGGAGGTGACCAGCCGAGGTTGTACTCTGCTTAAATATGACATGCTTCCGGGTCGCCGCCTCGTGGCTCCGCCTATCCGAGGTATTCATGAGGCTTTCCGCGGAGTGAGGGGCCTATCAATCCAAAAAAACTGCGCCTGGACTTAAAGCTCCGGGAGAGATGAATAGCGTAATGAATGCCAACTTAAATTAAGTTCGACAAAGCCAATAAAAGACCCCAGGCCGAACTTGAACCCGGGAGGGCGCTAGCATCAGATCGAACCTATCGGCTGGATCCGTGGCGTATCGAAGCCCGGAAGGCGACGCAAGTCTTGGTCTGCAAGGTGCTGCTTGGAAGCATTGACAAGTGCTTGATGCGTGCAGGGCGCAGGTAATTCGGGTGCTCCCCGTTTCCTCCTGCTGCTAGAGCGTGCCAGGGCTCTGCGGCGAAGCTTATAGGAACTTATTGCGGGTAGCAATATGTTGTTTACCATTCGTTTTTCTGATGACTATCTTAAGGATGTTCTTCGGGTACGTGGATTTTGGGTATGTTCTTGTTCTAAATCATCTGATGGAATAGCTTGGGAGCCTGGATTTTTGGCATGATACTACATCCTCGAACAAATCTTGAGAAGGATCCTGAGCAAATACGGCATGAGAATGAAATCCTGGAAATGATGATCCCAAAATCCTTCCCAGAATGATAATGAGCCTCTAGCTGGATCTCCAATGTGTAGCATGCAGAAACTCTCAAAAGGCTAAGCGGTTGAGTTGGTGCCTGCGCGGCATCTACTTTGGAGCGAAGATATGCTACATGAAGGCATTGTATGCACGGCGCATGGTCAGGTTGTGCGAGATCTTTATGCTTCTCTTTTGCGTCTTCCTGCTACCGTCCATCGGGCAAGGGCGAGTGGGCTTTTGTGTTTAGGAACGCTCTAGTCCCTTTTTGTTAAAGTACACTTAAGCAGCTGGCACAAAGTACAGCCTTATGTGTACGACTCCCTTGGTACGAGTCGGCACGCGGCCCTCAGACGACATTCCAAAGATTCCAAAGTCGTGAACATATACTTGCAAAGCGACAGAAAACCATGGCCAATTCTGCATGGCGAACAGTTCTGCCACGTAGACTGACTGCTTGTCTGCAGCAAGGCTCGACTAGATCATTAAACTGACTTGCAAGCCAGTCGAGACGGCCATCGCGTGCCTCTTGCACTTCTGCATAGATAGTAGATACCACATTAAACTAAAGCTTTCCACGTGCAAGAGGGCCTGGGAGTTGTTGCGACCAAGGATCACAGAAAAGCTACGGTGCTTTAAGACGCAGAAGGAGGTCGTTCCGATTGCGACCGTCAGCAGTTGCAGTGACGCAGAACCAGAGAATTTCTCCCTTGGCGCGAGGCGGCAGACCTGGCAGTTGAAACCCTGTCGTGTCTTCCCGCGAGGCGACAACGATAGCCGAACTGGCCCACCTATGCAGACGCATGGAGTCGTACCTGAAGGCCTCCAGATGCTACGTATCTCTGTGTGTAACTATTTTATATGAATATATTATGTGTATATATATATATATATTGTATTATGTATGTATATATATATACACACATACACACACACACTGTTTACACAAGTTGGCGATGTATTTATATTTACGTATGCAATTATGTATATATATATATATATATACGTATATATCATATACATATAATAATCATAATATTGTATACATATAGCTCCCTCTCTCTCTCGCTCGCTCTCTCGGGCTCTATGTATATACATACATATATATATATGTATATATATATATATATACCATATCTATACACATGTAAGTGTGTGTGTGTGTATATAAGCACAAGCACACATTTGTGTTCATGCGGCCTGCAGGGCACTGCCTTAGAAGATCATGAGAAAGAGCTCAAGGAGGCGTGGAGCCCGGCGCCGTGCAGCAAGCCATGCTTCCTTCAGCTCTACGCCGAAGGCCCCAATTGAAACTCCTAAGTCCTAAGACTTCTGTCACAGGTCTCAACCTGTTTTTCTGCTCCTGAACATCCAGTGAACATCCATCTATGCGGGCTCGTCCTGGTACTGCAGTCGTAGGAGGCAGAAACAGCTCAAGCCTGGTTTAGCATGGCCAAGGTCAGAATGAAGCTCTATGCGCGAGAGGAG